CTCTATCCTGGGGAAGGTCTTAGTAAAGATTATTAAAGAGGCCATTTTCAACAGACTGGCTGATGACAACATCCTGAGGGATAGCCAGCATGGGTTTGTTGCGAGTAGGTCTTGCTTGACTAATCTCATTTCCTTTTATGACCAGGTGACCTATCACCTGGACAAGGGAGAAGAGATTGATGTCATATACCTTGACTTCAAAAAAGCCTTTGATCTGGTATCCCATGATCACCTCTTGGCAAAACTGGTCAACTGCGGCCTCAGGTCCACCATGATCCGCTGGCTGGGGAATTGGCTCCGTGGTTGGACCCAGAGGGTGGTGGTTGATGGAAGTCAATCGTCATGGTGCCCTGTGACCAGTGGGCTCTTCCAAGGCTCTGTCTTTGGACCCATGTTGTCCAACATCTTCATTAATGATGTGGACATTGGAGTCAGAAGTGGACTAGCCAAGTTCGCTGATGATACCAAACTTTGGGGTAAAGCATCCACACCTGAGGACAGGAGGGTGATCCAGGCAGACCTTGACAGGCTCAGGAAACGGGCGGACGAGAACCTGATGGTGTTTAACACTGAAAAATGCAAGGTTCTCCACCTTGGGAAGAAAAACCTGCAGCATGCTTATAGGCTTGACAGTACTATGCTGGCTAGCACTACAGATGAAAAGGACTTGGGGTTTATGATTAACCACAAGATGAATGTGAGCCTTCAATGTGATGCTGCAGCTAGTAAAATGAGCAAAACGCTGACTTGCATCCATAGATGCTTCTCAAGCAAATCCCAGGACATCTTTCTCCCATTGTACTCAGCCTTGGTGAGGCTGCAGCTGAAGTACTGCATCCAGTTTTGGGCTCCACAATTCAAAAAGGATGTGAAGAAGCTTGAGAGAGTTCAGAGAAGAGTCATGCGCATGGTCAGAGGTCAGGAAAACAGACCTTACGACGACAGGCTGAGAGCTATGAAAAAGCACAGGCTCAGGGGCAATCTGGTGGCCACCTGTAAGTTTATCAGGGGTGTTCACCAGTATCTGGGGGACCTTTGTTCACCAGAGCGGTCCAAGGGATAACAAGGCTGAATGGTTATAAACTCCTGCAAGACCGTTTCAGGCTAGACAGAAGGAAGAGCCCCCAATGTCTGGAACAGCCTGCCATTGGAGGTGGTTCAAGTACCTACATTGAACACCTTCAAGAGTAAATTGGATGCTTATCTTGCTGGGATCCTATGACCCCAGCTGACTTCCTGCCCTTTGGGTGGGGGGCTGGACTCGATGATCTTCCAAGGTCCCTTCCAGCCCTAATGTCTATGAAATCTATGAAATCTATGAAGTGTTAGGGGATTGTTGAATCATGGAGTGTCACCCTATGCAGAATGAACCATTTGCTGACAAAAGCTATGTTTCCACTCTAAGTCCATCATTAAACTTGGATGATGGTATATTCAGGTGGGGTATGCGTTGGCTGAAGTTGAGAAAAGCTAGGTATTTAGGAATGGAAGAGACCCCAGGGGCATTAAATCCAATCCCCTGCTACCATACAAACCATAACATACAATCCTTTGCATACATTGATCAAGTTCCATCTAAAAATGAGCTGGGTTTCTTCTCTCCTCTACTCTTATTGGATGGCTGTTCCAAAGCCCTGGAATGGTTAGAAACCTCCTTTTAATTTCCAGCCTAAATTTATTCAGGCCAGTTTGTATCCATTTGTTCTTGTACCAACATTGTCCTTTATCTTAAATAGCTCTTCTCCATCCCTGGTGTTTATCCCTCTAGTGTATTTATAGAGAGTAATCATATCCCTTATGTCACCACTACTTAGCTAATTCCTCCCTCTTCTCTGCAGAAAGTGGAGAGTGGAAAATTCCCTAACTCAGAACGAATAAAGCAAGGTGTTGCTTAAAACTGCAGAGATTGGAGCGGGGGAAAGCCACAGTGGATGTGTTGGGGAAGGAAGACTGGATCATGGTTTTGCTACAGGGTGTGGGGGTGCTGCTTAACCAAAACAAAAAAAAAAAGATCCATGATCTAGGTGACATGGCATGGGCTACACGAGAAGAATCCTGCCCCCTGTTTAAAATAAGGGTCTAGACCCCAATGGTGCCCATAGCAATGAGGAAACCAAAGCAGGAAACCGTGTTCAACGTTTATTGTAGCCTACAGCTGCATATCTCGTGTTGCCAAAGAGCAATTCGTTTCATAATCCTGTGTACAGTTGGTATGTTTGTGTGTTGTCAGGCCTATCAGAAGTCTCTGAAGAGTTATATTGTAAACCTGCAGGAGTGCTCAGTGGGGAGGAGCTCGGAGAAAGTGCATGCCTAAGTTTCCAGGAGCTAGGAGAAAGAAGGGCAGAGTCAGCTAGGCCCCATTCATGAGTGAGTCACCAACCGAAAGCCAGGTCCCAGGAAATGCAGCAGAGAGGCCAAAGGGAGAAAAAGTATGGCTATTAGGGCAAGGGAAGCTTACAAGCCACACAGGCCCCGTGGATTAGAATCCAGCTGCACAACAGCCTCATGAGCCTGCAATAAGAGGGAATTTTACCCAGGACTGTCACAACATATGCCTCATATTGTTCACTCATTCGAAGAGCAGTGTGATCTGAGGAGGGAAAACATGCTCATCTCATGACCTGAAGCAGAATCTGGCTTATTCTTTCTTCAAATTACCAGGACATTAGACATGAATGTGCCCATATAAAAGGACAAAGAGAATCCCAAAGACAGCTCCTCCTTCCATTAACGTACTGAATCAAACAACTCTTACTCTGACCCAGCTATCAAAAATCCCCGACAGCTTGTGGAAATGGAAAATCTCTCCTTGGGGTAAAATGACTGCTACTGCAGGCAGTTTATTCCTAGGACCCCTATTCAGGCAGGTACTTCAGCTCCTGCTCTATGTTTGATATTTATAAATAGCCTATAGAAGACAGTGGAGCTTTTCACATACCAAGAATTAGGCATGTGTCTTGCTGAATGGGTGGAGTCCAGCCTCTGGAAATGGCACAACTGCACATGTTTAAAACAGTTTTCAAAGGAAAACTCCTTGCTATGAGAACAGTAGGACAGTGGAACAAAGTACTTAGGAATTTCCCTCCTTGGAAGTTTTCAAGAAGAGGCCAGATAAACTAGGATAGTTTAATAGTGAATCCTGTACCTCCATAGTGAATTGGACTAAAAGATCCTGTGGAGGGAAGAAGGGACCCATTCAACCCTATGATTCTAATAGCATGGAGAAATATGAAGGAAAGGCATGCTTTGCCTCTCATCTTCGGAGCCACACGGCTTGCTCAGGAAAGCAGAACTATCCCTTCCTAGAAATGAGAGATACTGCAGTTTTGTCATCAGCAGGGAACCTGGTTTCCTCTGTTTAAAAATAGCAAACTCTTTGGGGGAAAAAACCCTAAATTCTCTGATTAAAACCCCAAAATCCACGTTTTTCTGCTATTAAAATGAAATGCCACTATATATACATAGGTATCAGTTGAAAAAAATGGTTTATTCATCTATTTACAATTTTAAAGCAATTTGAAAGTCTACCAGTGCCTCAATCATTATGATAAAATACATTCTAAATACCTATATATTTTGGCATTTGATTTGGGTTTTTTATTATGGAAAATCAGAGTTCCCCTTGCCCACTTCACTCACCAGGATGCAGATCCAGCTTGCATTTTTTGTCACCTCACCCCCACCTCTACCGCTTTGTGGCACTGAGCAGTCTTGATATGCCGGTGCCCTGCCCCTGCCCATGCTATTACCCTTCACTCCCAGCCCACAGCCCCCTGGCACTGCTGGTGCCCCTCACTCCCAGCCTGCCGCCCCCAGTGTTTGAGGAAGTGGTGGGGGGAGGGTGTGGGCACAGGCAACACATTGGATGATAGGGGAGGCCACATGTCCCCCTCCCCCCCTGATTTCTGCACCCAGTGAAGCCTGGGGCTGCCCCCAGCATGGACCAGCTCCAGGCAGGAGCTGCATGCATTTCCCAGTGGGCAGGAGCTGGAATGGGAGGCAGTGCCGCGCTACCATGACGGCCAAGATGAGGTGCAGAAGCACAGAGTTGTGCCCCCCCCACACTGCTGCCAGGTGGGCAGGAGACACCTCACCTTGGTGGCCATGGAAGTGCAGCACTCCCTGCCATGTCAGGTCCTGCCCAATGGGCCATGGAGATAGCTCCTGCCTAGAGCTGATCTAGCCAGGCTGCAGCCCTGCACCCCATCATAGATACAGACCTCTGGGGCAGCACATGCTCTCCCCTCCCCCCAGTATGTTGCGTGTTGTGCCGTCTCCCACCCCCCAAGGGAGGGAGCTGCAAGCACTGCCCTCCGCACCTGGCTGCCACATGCACATGCATGTAGTACCCCCTGAGTCCCACTCCCTACAGCCCCACACAGCCCCTTGCAAGCTGGAACTCTGCCAGCCCGCAAGGGGAAACCCATGGTTCCCCATGTTTTTCTCCTTTAAAGGAGAAAGTCTGTGTTTTTCTGCGGCAAATGCAAAACCCAGACCCCTGGTCATCAGAATGGTGCTCCTCCTGAACAATAAATATAGCTGTGCCAACTAAATACACCTTGTAGAAAGGAACAATGTGAGAGGTCTCCATACACTTCAGCTTAACATGAGCTGAGGGTGAGGCACTCCCTATAAGATGACCCCAGCTTATGTTCAGTTCAGCAGAAAGACCCTGAAGTTTATTAAGGTGTATTTTTTATTATCATCATTCATTCAGACCTTATCTGACAAATATTAAAAAAAAACCCAAGGGAGAGATAGGTTTTCAGGTTCCTGAACAATGGTAGATACAAAAGTAAATGAGAACACAGCACAGTCATCATCCCCGTGAAAGAAATTCAAGTTGATCCTCCCGCTCACCAAGTGCCAATCCAGATAGATCATGAGGCAAGCCTCCCATAACCAATACCTTCCCCCACCCTTCCCATAGGATGCTGTAGAAGGGCATCTTACAAGTGCAGAGAAGTGAGCCAGGGGGAAATGAGCTAAAATCCAGTATATTTAGATTTGTAACCCAAGACTTGTACTAGATGGCAATATGATTTAAAAAATTGGAAAAGGTTAAGAATATCTCTTACAAATCCTGTTCTAAGGCAATGTGTTTGCATGGTAGGGACAGGAATGGGCACATTACACAATCTTCCCCATCCCCTCTGATATGACATCTTCAGGCTCTGCACGCATGAACCACTCCACCCAGGCACCATCATAGATGGCCACATCTGGTTTGCCACAGAGGTATGCCCCCAGGGCCACATGGCAGGCAGTGACTCCAGAGCCACATGTGGCTACCAGTGGCTTTGAGAGCTCCACCTTCTTCTCCTGGAACAAATTGTGGATCTCCTCAGGGGTCTTTTCGAAGCCAGCCTCTGTGAGGAAATCCACAAAGGGAATGTTCAGGGAACCTGGGATGTGACCAGGCTCAATTCCTGGAAGAGGAAGGAAAGCATTGAAGAAGACAGGAGTTAATCTTTATATCAAGCATGGTTCCAGCACAAAACCTCACTACTTAGCAACTCTCATTCTCAAGCCACCACATTAAGTATCTCACAGGGTTACCATGAAGATCAGTTCATGTCTGTACATGAAGTACTAATTATTTTTAAGGGGAAAGAGGTTGTGAGAGCAACCCCATCTCTCCATTTCTTGGTCTCCCAAAAGACTGTGTGCGCTTCTGCCTACAGAACATGAGACCCTACAGTCATGTTAAGCTAGGGGTGGGCAATTATTTCAGGGGGAGGGCTGCTTACTGAGTTTTGGCAAGCCATCGAGGGCTGCATGACAGGCAGCCAGGGGCAGATAAATATTAACTTTCTAAATTTTTTAGGGGCCCCGCGGACCAGATAGAATGGCCTGGTGGGCCACATCTGGGCCACAGGCTGCATTTTGCCCACCCCGTGTTAAGCTATAAGGCTTCCTTCCCTTATAAAGGACCTAAAATATCACTTTCAGCCAAGACCAACTTAGAGGTAAGGCAGAGATGAGTTTGAGGGGTGTCCTACTGAAACCCATCCTCAACACAAGCAAGTTTCCATCTTCAACTTGCAGATGGGAGCAGAAGTCATGGTTTTGGGCTCATGTCTTAACTAGACCCCATGCATGTTATGCTGATGGTCAAGTAAGTGCATTACCATCTCTAGGTTCCATCTCTATCCCCCTGAATCGCCCAGCAGAGCGAGCATCCACCAGTTGGAAACGACGTGATTCTATGTTCTTCTTTATGTCCTCATGGCTCTTCACCAGCGATTTGTCTAGAGAGGCGTGGAACTCAGCAGGAGCTGTCCGACTCTTGCCAGAGCTCAGCGGATACCCCTCTCGCTGCCAATTCTTCAGGCCACCATCCAGAAGGGAAACAGCATCATGCCCAAAGGCCCGGAACATCCACCAGACCCGGGGAGCAGAGAAGAGACCCTGATCACTGCCATCATACACAACCACGTGAGAGTCATTCCCCACACCCAACTTGCCCACATACTCTGAAAAGTCATCTGTACTGGGCAACATATGGTCATATGGCGAGGTACGGTCACTGCACTGGTCAATGTCAAAGAAGGCTGCCCCGGGGATATGGCGCTCCTCAAATTCCCGCCGGGGATCACGCTTCATTTTCGGGAGGTACCAGGATGCATCTAGGAGCCTCACAGCCAGCCCAGGCTGTGGGGACTTGATGGCTTCTGACACCCATTTCGCTGACACCAAAGCACGGTAGAGGAACTGCTGTGACATTGCTCTCAACACCTGACTGGGTTCAGCCAGTCCCTGTGGCTTATCTGAACTCTCCAAACTGTGAAGGAGGAAAATCGTAGATTAGCAACAGAAGGGGTCATGGCAAACTACAGAAGGAAGATGCCAGACACCAAGCAAGCTCTTTGCACCAAGGAATCCTCTTTGTTATCTAGGCTTGCACAGCACTCAGCCTGATAAGCTCTGGAGGTGCCTATACACAAGCAGCAGGGCTGCTCCGACACACTGTAATTAGAGTGCATCAGAACAGACTCAATTAATCGAGTCTGCTGGAGCATGACAATTACTACGCTCCAGCAGCCTCCAGCGTCTTGTGTATTGGCATCCCTACGCTTCAAAATAGCGGTGGGGGTGATTTCATTAAAGCTCGCTCCACAAGCTTTAGTTAAAGCACCCCCACTGCCACTTTGAAGTGCAGGGATACTGATACATGAGACACTCTGGGTGCTTTAATTAGAGCGGATGTCAGAGCCACTCTAATTAAAGTGCTCTACCCCCCCCAGAACACATGTATAAATGCCCTGGGACTCCCAGGGGTTGCAGTAATATGGATAATAAGCAAGGAAAGCTGGGTCCCTAGTTTACAAGTTATAACCCATCCTCTGCCATGCTTTATACTAGGGGTTCCTAGTTTTTCTATGAGGAGACTATTCCTTTCAATCTGTTTTTAAAGACAGAAACAATTGTGAAATTCAGAACTGTTCAAGTTCAGGATCCTACTTCTAGTCTGAACGGTGCCTTCTGCACAAGTGTGTATCTGGCACACTTCACTGACTCCCCTAGCACCTGCCCCTTCTGTGGACAGAGGGACACCCTGGTGCATGCCCTCCTCAAATGCATCAGGCTGCAGGCCCTCCCCTGCCTCCTCAGGAACCTGCTCTTGAGGTTCTGCCTGCACTTCTTCCCGCTCCTTTTACGCACCCCCATGCATGGCCCCACCAATTCCTATGCCCCCCTGGTCAACCTCCAGCTCCAGCCAGACTCGCCGTGTCTAACAGACCACCAAGGAGTCTGTAGCCAGGGGAAGAGAACTCGAGTGACTGTGGGCCTGGTTTTTTCCATGCATGTCTCCAGGCCAAGTTGCACTGGGTGGTACCCCATCACCTCCTTTGATTCACTGGAGGGGTGGCAGATCCCGACTTTAGGGTGGCAGCAGCCAAAGGGTAGAGGCACTTGTGGCGAAGAGTGCCAGCTCTAACTGTGTGGCACTCCCCAAGGTGACTGCTGGCTGGCCTTCTCAGCTCTATTTGCCCCCTCAGAGCCCTCCAGATCCACCTACCACACTCACTCTTGCCCCTGTTGCTTCATCTGTTACCCCCCAGCAAGCAGGAGCCATTCACTTGGTGGCCTCCCTTGGCTGAAGACAGGCTTGGTTCCTGGCAGTAGAGGGGGAAGGCTAGGCCCAGCGTGGAGTTAGCACTCAGGCTCTGACTGGCCTGTTAACACAGCTGGGCTTGCCCCAGCCTCCTCCCTGCTGGGCACTGTGCCACCCTGAGGTGGGAATCTGCTGCTCTAGGCATAATGGACTTGTAACATGTCAATGGGAGTTATGGGTCTAGGTCCACCAAGTAAACTATACTCCCCCTTTAAAAACAGGAGCCCCTTGTGCCATGCTCCTAATTCCTTGGGGCAAATAATAATGAAAACGGGGACAGGAGTGGAGGTCAGAAGTTAATAACTAGGATGCTGAAGGGGGAACACTGAGAAAAGCACACCGGACAGTGTCCACAGGCCCTCAAACAAGTCCAAGCAGCCAAAGGACACTACCTAGAGATACTCTGCCTGACCATGGGATCACACGAGGGACAGGAAAGTGGCCCCACAGTCCTCGGGGGTGCTCCAGGCCAGAGCCTCCTTCCTGGTAAGCTACACCACTAGTGTAACCAAGCAGGGTTTGAATTACACTTTGACTCTTGGGGGAGGGGGGCAGAGGAGGAGCTGCAAAAAAAATTAACCCAGTTCATTGATTAACAAGTCCACCTAGGTGAAGGAGCAATCTGACTGGAGACCCCCCAGGTTATGATTTTCAAATCCATACAGGAGGACTCTCATCTCAGATGGGGTGCTCAGCCCCCACTCAGCGCTCCCCCTTAGTTTGCACCCTGTAGCCAGGACGAGGTTGACCAGAAGGTCCCAGG